CATTGTGGAAAGTGAGACACACTTCTGTTTGCTAGTCTTCCATATGACTAAGGAATGTCTTATAGTGATAGCGGTCCCATTATAGGACCGTCTGTAAGTCTGTAAGTGGACCGTTTTTGTAATTTGTCTTGGAATTCTCTATTGCAAAACTAAAGTACATTATCCGATCGTAACACTTCAATTTGATTATCAGTTTGTCTCTCTACAGTGGCTCTATAGATATCGAAATGTTTTAATACTTCATTTTTGTTTTTCAGAAAATACACAGTAATCCTTCTTGAGAAATCATCAACAATAGATAGAAAGTATATATTGCCTCCGGTTGATTTTACCAGCATTGGACCGCAAATATCTGTGTGGATAAGCTCCAAGGTCCGTTTTGATCTAAGATTGTCTAGGTTTTTATGTGGAGCTTTAGTGGATTTGGCGATACAACAATCGTCGCATAGGCCTTTATCTCTAGAGGAAATTTCTAAGCCTAATACCAGCTCCTCCCGCGCCATCTTTTCAATGGTGTTACTCTCAATATGGCATAACCTTTAAGGCCACGTTCTCAAGGAACTGTTCTGAAAATGGTCCCTTTCACTATTAAATGCTGTTTTACTGGAGTTTAAGGTCTTACCTTTCACAGTGTAGAGGCCATTTACATTTGTCGCTTCCGCTATAATCCTGTTTTCTGGGTTGAAAACGCGAGCTACCATATTACGGAAGGTCACACGGTTGCCGTTTTCTTCTATCTTGGAGACTGACAGCAGATTCCTTCGCACATTTGGGACGTATAGCACATTGTTCAGCTTGATTTCGATGCTTTCATTATGGAAATACGTCTGGAGAAATATGTGTCCATATCCTTTGGCCTCAGTTGTCCCACTCGCAGTCATGATAGGATCAGATGACACCTCCCGAAGGTCAACGAACCAGTCTTTGTTTCTGCACACATGGTTGGTTGCTCCGCTGTCCAGTAGCCACGAATCCTCGTCGCTCGTTAGATTGAGTGCAGCCAGGAAGTTATCTGATCTGTTCACCTTCCTCTGATAATGCTGATTATCACGGTTCCCAGTAGTTGTTTGCTTCATTCCTCGGCAGTTGGTGGCGATGTGGCCGATCTTCCCGCATCGGTAGCATTTTCTTCGACTGTCGGTGCTGCTGATATTTTGATGCTTGTTCACATGTAGCACCTCCTTGGATGAATCCTCTTTTCTGGTTGTTCTCCTCTCGTGTTCCGTTAGCAGGATCTGCTTTACCTTGGATGACGTGAACTCATCATCCGTCATGTTTCCAAAGTTCATTATAATCCCATCATAGGAGTCTGGTAGTCCAGCTAGCATAGAGTATGCCAGATATTCATCCTTTACTTCACATCCCGCTTCTCTGAGATGATCACTTCAGGTCTTCAATCTTGACATATAATTTATAATATTTTCTTCTTCGATGAAATTGATTTCCACGAACTGTTTCTTGAGTTGAAGAATTCGTGCCCTTGATTTCGGTTCAAATATTTGTTCCAGGGTCGTCCAGGCTTCACTTGCAGTCTTACAGTCGATAACGTGTATTTGTTGCTCTGTAGAAATTGATAGAGCAATCGTTGCCAGTGCCTTTTCTTGTTTAATTTTTGTCATCTCATATTTTCTTTGATCCTCATCAGCGTTGATCGTTTCTCCGATAATTACACATTCCCATAATCCTCTTTCATTTAGAAGCTTCTTCATGGTAAACTTCCATGATCGATAATTGCTGCCGGTGAGCTTCTCGATGTTCAGGGCAAGCGCTTGGGAAGACGACGCCATCTTGGTTTCACTTACTTTTCGTTCTTTTTATGCAGCTAACCACGCTCTGCTACCATGTTGTGGGTCGGTGTTGCAAAAAGAACAGCCAAATAAGTGATTTTATAAATATATGATTATTATTTGATATAAGGACACATACTCGTATGTTGACAAAAGAATAACAACCGCACACAGCAGTAGAACAAAGGCAGTCTTTTGGTATATACAAGGAAGAAGACTGGCGGTTGAGGTGGGCCGTTCCCATTGGTCGGTTATCTTCATGCAGTGCCACCAAGCGGCACCCACGTCCACGCTTCTCTCATCACGCTTTACGCTGCCATTGGGGCTCAAAAATGATTTATTTTGGTTAGCAGCCCCGTAAATAAAGATATTTCCTTTCCCGATGGCCAACTGCGCTTCTGGTGACCACCAAGGCCGAAGCTGTCCAACTCTCGCCAACCCGCGCACGGCCAAGTGCGCCAACTGCTCAGCCAAGGGCCTCTCTGCCGACAACGAGGAAAGATCAATGTCTTGCCCAACTGCCAGAGCTAGAGCTGCAAAGTTCTAGTCCTCCCGCCTCCTTCCTGCCTCCTGACCTCCGCGGACCCAATCCGGCCTAACCTGCCTCTTCCCTAACGGAGATCCTGTCCCTAGCCTCCCCAGCCTGGTCATAGTGGTTTATATATATTCCGCTTTACGCGGCCATTGGGGCTCAAAAATCATTTTATTTTAGTTATCAGCCTCGTAAATAATGATATTTCCTCCTTTTTCGATGGCCGGCTCAAACCTTTTGTACATTAGGTAAATAAGGTTTTCATTTTTCTATTCTTACGGCTTAAGCCAGGCAGTGTTTTTTTTTTATCAAATTATGTTTTTTTTTTATATTTCATAAGTTAATTAAAGCAATTACTGATCAAAAATATATTTATCATACTTTCAAGATTTTAAACCATGACTGCATTACCATAGCATAATCCACAAGATAATCAAAACACAAGCATAAAATCTCTTTTTTATATTATACTAGCGGATGTGTACCCGGCTTCGCCCGGGTTTTATCCGAGAGAAAGTTTATTGTATAGTAAAATAATATTGTTGCTCAGTACTATAATTTTTCTTGGTTAAAATGCGACAAAAAACTCTTCCAGATTTAACTCTGTCCTTTTCAAATTTCAGCGAGATTAGTTACATATTGAGGGCGTGCATAGCCGACAAACATATATATATGTTTCCGGCTTCGCCTGATATTTACCCGAGTAAAAGTTTGCCTAACAAACATTTGTTAAAACGATTCTAGCAAACATCCAATCCCTACGGAATCTATATTTGTCATACTCTCGATAATTTGAAATTTTTCCCCGGTCCCTTGAAATAATACTCGATAAGTTGAAAAAAAAATCAGTATTAATCGGTCCACTCGGTAATTTGAAGTTGAAGGAATAGTATCTTGCCACAAACGAAGATTTGTAAATAACTGTATTTAGCGAATGTACCCGGCTTCGCCCGTTTTTATCCGAGTAAAAGTTTGCCTAACGAACATTTGTTAAAACGATTCTAGAAAACATCCAATCCACCTATATATTGATTTATAAACGTATATAAATATAATAATTGTTATATGCGTTTAAATATAATTTTGAAACACATAATATTTTGAAAACATTTATTATATTTTAAATAAGATATTGCCACTTTTGTGAATTTGATAATTAATTATTTCTTTTTTTTCTCAATGAATTATATATATTAATTTAAAAATTCATTTTGTTATTATCATCACATACAATGCAAGTTTTTTATATAAACAAACGATAATAAACAACAGCAACAATGTAATTTGCATCTTCGCTATTATAAAACAACAACAAATTAAATTAACAATGTAAAAATATATTTTAACATTACATTTTATCATTTAACACAAAAACGTTACAATATTTTCTTTGAATATATATTAATATTGAAATTCCAAGTTTTTTTTACATCACTGGAATATTATATTACTAAATTATCAAATTAAATTTATCATACTTGTAACACATTTTAAGCATTGTTACAATTTATAAATATAATTGCACCAGATTCCGCTAGAGGCGCTGCTTGCGAGTAAAGGTAGAAAATTTGCAAATAAAATTGCAAAGAATATTTATTTCAAACCAAATTCAAACCAGAAACCTTCCCAGTAGTATAGTAAATAACTTCCTAAAGTTTCACGGCGATTGGATAATCTTACCTTTTAAAAACATTCATCATGTGAACAAACTAACATTCATCGTGTAAACAAACCACGTGTTAATTATTAACCAATCAAATTCATATATCGTCGCGACCAGTGCTGCGCCCAAGCGGTAAGAGGCTGGAACTAACGCTTTTTTGTTTTATATCATTTTTAAAAAGCACATTAACCTTTTTAGTTTTTTGAATAGCCTATATGTTAAACGAAATCTTCAGCTATCTACATGCGAAATTTCATAATGATTTATTCTGTAGATTTTGCGCAACGCGATAACAAACATCGATTTTGAATTTCATTTTTATAGATATAATGAAGGATATATATGAAAAAACAATAGAAAAAAAAGTGGGTCAAGTGTTGATATTAAAAAAACAAATTTATTTTATATTATATTTTTATAATTCATTTATTTTTAATATATATCGTAACGTTTTTTGTGTTGAATGTTAAAATGCTCTGTAATGTTAAAATATATTTTTACATTGCTAATTTAATTTAATGTTGTTTATAATAATGAAGATGCAAATTACATTATTGTTATTTATTATTGTTCGTTTATAAAAAAAACTAGACGAATGGCCCGGGCAACGCCCGGGTTTTACCCGAGTTGCGTATATATTTTAAAAACGTTTTAATTCAAATACTATTCGTTACAATTATAAATTGGCGCCATGGATGTCACTCTTGTGAAACGTCCCGTTCCAAACTGTGTGTTTTTAAAATGTTTTAATTAAAATACTATTCGTTACAATTATAAGGTACTTATATATATTTAAAGGTTCTCATAAAGGATACCGATTTAAAAGTTTATTTTATTTTATTTAAAGAAACATATTTTCATTTAAGTATTGTTATTTATATATATTTTAAAAGATCAAGTAATTGTGCTAAAGGATAATTGCCTTAAAAAGAAATTGCCTTAAAAAAAAGAAACATTCGCGGTGATTTTGTCTTGCATTCGTTTATACAATTATTATATATATTAACTTTATGAACGGACAAATATGTCCAGGGTAGCCTAGTGGTCATGGCATCTGCCCGGTAAGCGGAAAGTCGTGGGTTCGATTCCCATCCCTTGTGTTGTCTTGTCTTAAATTTGAAAAAAGAAAGACAATACAAGGTCCCGATGGCTTAACCTGAACTAAAAGCTCCTAGCTTTACAGTAATGCTGGAAACTGACTTGAAAATTATAAATTGATAAATCAATACCTTTGTTGCAGAGATCAGTAGAATTTGAGTCACAACGCTGTATGGCGAGGCCTAAATTAGAAAACAGTGATGAATAATTTAATACTTATTGAAAGAAATATTTATTTAAAAATCACACACAAATTAATATTAATACAAATATTATTCAAAACAATTATTAAAATTTATGAGAGATAGTTCTTTTTCAGGCCTGTCAAAACCAAACGTTAGCGTCGAGACAGTTTGTTTACCGGAATTTTCGCGGGTAATCCTTTTCTGCTTGCGCATGCGCGGGGGAGGGGGGGGGGGGGGCAGCCGGGCAGTGTTGCCACCGTCGGTTGGTCCAAAAAGTACCTATTTTCGCGTCACTCTCCCACCTTGACCTTTTGAACTTTGCTATAAGGTCAATATTAATTTAAAAAAACAAAGGAGGAATTATCTCAAATCTAACAGAATGTTTTATGATTAAATTTTCTCTCAAACTTCAATTAAACCTAATCGGTAACTTGAATTTTCTTCCAGAACGCGTGTAAACTTTCCCTACTTTTAGGGAAATTATAAATTTTAAATTGGCGCCGTGGATGTCTCTCTTGTGAAACGTCCCGCACCAAACTGTGTGTGTCTTGAAAATATAAAAATAAAAATGTGAATTTTCATAAAGATTTCATCATGTCGATTTTTTTTGCATTTCACCTACTAATTTAACTTTATGAACGGAAAAATATGTCCAGGGTAGCCTAGTGGTCATGGCATCTGCCCGGTAAGCGGAAGGTCGTGGGTTCGATTCCCATCTCCTGACACATTTTTTATTTTATCCATTCTTGTGAACTTCACACAGACAGAATAAGGCAATTATATAAGTAGACTAGACGAATGGCCCGGGCAACGCCCGGGTTTTACCCGAGTGCGTATATATTTTAAAAACGTTTTAATTCGAATACTATTCGTTACAATTATAAATTGGCGCCATGGATGTCACTCATGTGAAACGTCCCGTTCCAAACTGTGTGTTTTCAAAATGTTTTAATTAAAATACTATTCGTTACAATTATAAATTGGCGCCGTGGATGTCTCTCTTGTGAAACGTCCCGCCCCAAACTGTGTGTGTCTTGAAAATATAAAAATAAAAATGTGAATTTTCATAAAGATTTCATCATGTCGATTTTTTTTTTTTTGCATTTCACCTACTAAATCGATAGAGATAATTACATTTGCAACATGAACTTAGGTATATTGACTAAATAGAAAACTGCATAGTAATAAAGATCATTTTTTAAAGGCACCATATCGTTTTTTTTTTCAATTAAATCGAAACAAAAATTAACGATAAATAACGATAATTGCCTTAAAAAGAAATTGCCTTAAAAAAAAGAAACATTCGCGGTGATTTTGTCTTGCATTCGTTTATACAATTATTATATACGAATGACCCGGGCAACGCCCGGGTTTTACCCGATTAAATGCTTTTATTCAAATACTATTCGTTACAATTATAAATTGGCGCCGTGGATGTCATTCTTGTATAATATATAAATGAGTTTTAAAAATTGTAAAAAAAAAAAAATGCATCGGCCGGGAATCGAACCCGGGCCGCCCGCGTGGCAGGCGAGCATTCTACCACTGAACCACCGATGGTTATGAAAATTCCCATCCGTGAGCTTCAGACAAACAAACAGACAGAATAAGGCAAATATATAAGTAGATAATAATAATAATTATTATTATCATTAGATAATGATAATGATCATAATGATGATGCGCGCGTTGATGACCAAAATCTATCCGTGAACTTGACACAGTGAATTTCACACAGACAGAATAAGGCAATTATATAAGTAGATAATAATAATTATTATTATCATTAGATAATGATAATGATCATAATGATGATGCGCGCGTTGATGACCAAAATCTATCCGTGAACTTCACACAGACAGAATAAGACAATTATATAAGTAGATACATTGTATGTGATGATGATAAAAAAATGACATTTTAAATTGACATACAAAATTCATTCAAAAAAGAAATAATTAATTGTAAAATTCACAAACGTGACATATCCCTCGGCTTGAAGGATTTATTTTCGTAAAATAAATGACTTTTGTTGTGAAACATGAACTTTAACTAAGGAGGAATTTTCTCTTTACAATTCGCATGTAACACTTGATATCATTCTTGATATTCGAAATGGACCCTCATACTTTGGTGATGTTTTGACCATGCTTGGTTCATTAAAAGCGATTTTACGAAGGACAAAATCTCCAACTTTGAATGATGATGGCGGATGTCTTGCATCACGAATTGCTATCCACTTTTCCCTATGCTTCTTCTATTTTCAATTGCGTTCTTTCTTGCTTCTTCTACTGTGAAATGTGGTAAATTAGAAAATTATGGGGTTGAAAAGTCACCAAAAAGTAGAAATTTTGATGAAAATCCAGTGACATCATGCGGTGTGCTATTGTAGTCTTTCACGTATTAGAATATGCTTCTAAAATCTGGATGCAAACCTTGCAAACCAACCTAAAAAAATGAAAAGAATACAAAAAAATGCAGCCAAAATAATTTGTGGACTATATACAAAACACAACACCTTGAATATTGCAGAACATAAATATAATCTAACCTCTTTGGAGCACCGATGGCAAGTATTCCTAAACAAAATTTGAAGAAAAAGAACAAATCTAAAACACCATGGATAAAGTAATTTAATATATAAATGGCAACCCTCCTACAGAATTAAGAAAAAAATCTACAATACACACAATCCTGGAAAACAAACAAAACTACAAATCAAACGCCTTTTCCACCAAATCACAAGCGCAAAGAAATAATCTTTATTCTAGAGCTAGGAAATCAACTTAATAAGAAAAATAAAAATCTACATTTACTCAAGTTGAAAGAATAAAAAATTACGGAAC